GTTAAATCTAATACTATGTACCAAACCTGCCCTAAGAGCAGTTCATACCTGATCACCAGAGAAAATGACCCAAGCTAAGGGCTTGTTGAAGAGCACACTTCCTCTAATCATACTCAAAACACACCTCAAAACTTGGACCAGTGAGTAGGCAGCAGCTAACCCATTGGCTATTACCAAGAAACTGCATAATCAAAGTAATTAGTCAAGAACAAGATTAAACTTTCTTTATCAGAAATTTCAACCACAATAAAAAGAGAAGAGAAAATCTTACACAAAGGCTTTCATGTCTGTGAATCTAGCCTTCTTCTGAATAGAGAAAATCTCTTTAACCTGAGTGTCAGTCCCAATAAGAACAGCAGAAAGTATAGCTAGACCACATATCAAACACCTTAAAATCAATTCTGCAAGCCTCACTCTCCTGTCAATTACCTTCAAATTGCTCCCATGATAAACAGGAACATTTCCAGGACTCACACCTACACCAAGATAACTACTCATTTTTACTCCTATATGCCAATCTACAATAACTCAAGAAGAAGTTTACACAAGAATTAAAGAGCTGTACGAAGTCACCTAACACACCCCACCACTTATATAGACACCCAATAAGACTAGTTCATGCATTTTATATTAAAAAAATTAATGCACATTTTTTGTATTGCTGCCAAGTGTTTGGCATTGTAATTTTTAGTTCACCATGTGTAGGAATGGTTAGAGGCCACAATTTTATCAAACATTCATGGGGGCATTAAAAGGAAGCTAATCTTTCTTTGAATTCAAGAAGACCTGACATCTGAGATTGCATTAAAGAACGAAGGCCTAAGATTTCTGGGAATGGGCAATAGTTTCTTGTTTCAAGAAAGGAGAGAGATTAGGGTAGAGACTGCCTTTACTTCTCACATTTAAGGAGAATTATTGTAACCCATTCCCTTTTGTGTGGGAGAAAGACAAGAGAGACAGACAGAGATTAGTGCTGTCAACTATCAATATTCAAGTGTGAATACATGTTGGGCAATTGAATGGAAATTGGAAGGTGAAAAGAGACTTGCAAAACTTGCATGCTTGACAAAACAAAAAGTATAATTTAAGTTAGTTAAACATCAGATTTGATCTTCTAAACACCGGTACTTAGCTTATACTAAGTGTTCGATGACAGACATCTAATTAATGTGGTGGAAGATAATGGTGGATCCCGTAAAATGATTAGATTTGTTTATAATTAGAACGCTATGTCACCGGGGGCTTAGAAGATCAATCCTGAGTTAAACATGCTACCTATTTATATATTTCATATATTTTATAACTATTATTCACATTTTCATATTTGGTAGAAATTAAAATCCAGATTTTATTTTAAATTAAATTCAACAACTAATTTTAACTACTTATTTTATGGGATCCACAATTTTTTAATCACATATTTCATCAAACTTTTATCAAAATCCACTAAAAATCTGATTTGAATCTCCACAAAACGAGTCTTTGTAAAATATTTTCATTTGTATTTTAATTTAAGTAGTAGCAGTTTGTTATTTTTATTTATTATCTTACTTATATTTTCATTTTTTTTGCCGTATTCTTATCTTCAACCCTGATAATGATTTTTTATTCAAATATTTTGTTAGTTTACTTTGAAATGAAGGACAAATAATTATGATCACACTTTTGTTATTTTTATTTTTACTAATTTAAAAGCTTGATGGGTAAATAAATCTTTTATTATCGTCTACAATCTTTTTAAACAAAATCATCATCAGGCACAATCTATGTTAATTAATAAAAGATTAATAATAAGAATGAAATGAAGAAAATTAAGAGGTAACTATGAAAATAAGTAAATGTTTAAAAAGTTTTAGTGAAATTTAAAATTGGGTAAACATCCTTAATCATAGCTAAGTTTCTTTAAATTTAAAATGCTTTTATCGTATGTAGGTAGTTAATGTCCTGTCTTTCACATACAAATTGAAGATAGAATTTAGATGAAATATTCCATTTTTCCCCTTATAATTAGCTTTTAAATAACTTAATTCAATACAAAGTATTGATAGTAATTATTTGTGTCTTTAAAAATAGAATAATGCTATCGAACACCAGTGGTGCTAGAACTCCGATCTATATGACAATATGTGATAGAATAATGTTATTCATCTCTACTGGGGTTGAGCACCAGTTTTTGTGGCAATTACATGAAATTAAATAATAGACTCAATTAAATGAGTCGTATGACTTTACATTTAAATGAATTTATCATTTAGTGCCTGTCTGGTTCCAATTAAAATCAAAAGAAATGACTTTTTTTGACCGTTATATTCAAGCAAGTGGGGCCAATTCTCTCACAATTGGGTCAACATTGGAGGCTACAACGTTCCGAATTTTCATTAAAAGCAGAAACAAACAAGGCCTTAATACCATGTAATTACCAACTAGATTGGTGCTCAAACCCAGTGAGGATGAATAAAATTACTCATATGTTCAATTAAACATGAAATCATGTGATTCATTTAATGGAACTTGTAATTTAATGTCAATAGTGTTGCCATCTAGATCGATATTAAATATCAGTTGGCCAAAAGCTTCACAGCTAGCTTTTAAATAAGTTAAATCAATACAAAATATTGATAAGTAGTCATCAGTAGACCACAAGCTTACACGGTCAATTTGTAGGATGATATTGTTGTCACCCGACGGCACCAACTACTTGGACAGAGGTAACGGATTTTTTTCTTTTTCTTTTTTATTTTGTTAGACTATTTTCTATTCTTTTACTTTTTATTTGTTTTCATATAAATGCGTATAATTTGATAAGCCATTCTTCACTTTCTACGTTCTAAACTCGTTTTCCTGCTTTCTATATTTACGAAGTTAGTTTATATAACAAAATATAAACCTCACGTATAAGCTTCTTCTAATATTCGGGATGTTTTCATTTTTGCCCGAGTACCAACGTTAGAGTCAAATTTGTCATTTCAAATTAAAGTTCCTAAAAGGAACTTCAGCTCGTGCAGAAATATTTATTCAACACGATTAAATCTACTACCCGAGTACCAACTTTTTTTTTTTATAAAATTTAAATGTTGTGAGTGTTTTGAAATTAAAGAGAGATAGGGATGACAAAGATCCATGCTCAGAAGATGAAATATCATATGGGCATAAATTTCAAGAATGGTCCATCTTTCTTGTGAAAAGCAAGTTGTTTGATAATTCCGGAGTCTTTTTTTTTTCACTTCTAACTTCTGCTCAATACTTAAATATGGTCCTCCAATTTTTACAAGGTGAGTGATGGTGATGAAGATAGGATAAACTCTCTCTCTCTCTCTCTCTCTCTCTCTCTCTCTGTGCGTGTGTGTGTGGAAAGTAAGCATAAATTGTAATTTTAAAATACAATATATAGAATCTATTTTCTCTAAATCATGAATCTGATTTGAATAGTCATGTTGCTTTTCAATACCATTAGTTTGTTAGCATTTGCCAATGAGCTTCTTGCCATAAATATAACACCCTACATATAGAAGAAGAGATTATTTTCCATTCCGGCCTACTGTTTAGTTTTTATGAATGAGAGTGACAAGATACTATTCTTATTGTTCGAGTCTACGAAAGAACTAATCCAATGTATTGAAATAAAGAGCATGTTCAAGAATGGATAATTATCATAAAAAAATCTCAATATATCATAGATTCTCGTTTTTGCCATAGATACAATACCCTACAGATAAAAGAGGAGATTATTTGCCCTTACAGAATAGTTTCTATGAACAAGTCACTGGATACTATTCTTATTTTTTGAGTTCATGAATGAACTAAACACATTGCATTGACATAGAGAGCATGTTCGAGCGAGGATGTTCATCATAAGAAATTTCAAACATATCAGAAAATTATCTTTCTTGAAAATTCATACTTTCCAAACCTAGAAATCAAATGGAATTCTAGCAGGAATTATGCTACTTGTACACAAAAATGGTACATAAAGAATTACACAAAATGATGTGAAGGAAAAAGATTGGATGGAAAATTAACTGTATTTTAAATTAACAAATGGTGGAGTTCTTGTGAAATTATGTAATACTTACGTAAACTTTCATGTATATGTAGCAAGATTCAGCAAGGATTATAACAAGAGAGGATTTGATTTGATTAGGCAACGTTTGGTTGGTAAACAAGGATAATACATGATACATTGCTTGATAGGACTTAATTCTCAATAATGCTAAACTAGCTATGTCAACGAGACGGGCCTGAGGCTCGTCAAGAGCTTTCTGCCTGAGCCTAAGCGGTCCGAGCCGAGCCCAGACCGAGCCATTCTTGTTTTTTTAATGTCAAATCTACATTTTTACTTAAAAAATTTAAAATTTGTACGGTTTATACGTACTAAAAATTAAATAAAAAAGCTGGGCCCAAGCCGAGCCGTGCAAAGCCCGGCCAAAAAAATGAGGCTTGGTCTGAGCCTCCCCGAGCCGGGCCCGGCTCGAGCCTTTTTCGAGCCGAGTCTGAGCCGACGAGCTTTTTTGCCATCCCTATGCTAAACAATGAAAATTACAAGGAGTTTGTACAAATACAACATTACTGTGAAATTTGAAGGTTCTTGAGTGTCTCAAGGGAGATACTCAAACTTGCATGAATCGTGTTATGTTATCTCTTCACCAACTATAACATACTTACAGCAAACTTAATTTTTGATGTTTTACCATCAAATATTAGGCCAAAATGTCTTCTATTATTGAATTGGCAGTTGAATAAATTTCTAAAATTGTAGTAATTCATATTGGGCAGTATAAATGAGGGAGTTTCTTGCTTCCTTACTTGGATTTAGAGCAGTTAAAATTGCAGCAGCATTAAAGTAGCAAATTGCACCATTGCGCTTCAACTTCTGATAGTAACTGTAGAATGCACAAGAGGCATGATCCTTTACCGTGTTTGGGAAATAGCATGGTTGATTTACTTGTATCTTACTACAGTCTGCACCATTTCCGCAAGCCCAATCAAGAGCCTTCTGCAGCTCTTCATCTGAAGTTTGTGCATCCGCTATGCACCAGTCCTCGAACTGTCCACCTAACCTTCAAACCAGCAATTTGCAGTTTAAAAAGAAACAATATATGATGCAACGAGAAAACTGAAAAGGTGAACCAGAATTGACCTCTACGATACTGGGATTTCAACAAACCCATGGATCGAAAATATCTGTAATAGCACAATTGCATATCCAGGCATGCATGTATAGTTCTGATGAATTCCCATGAAGAAAATGTAAAACTAATACAGTAGGTAACAACTGACAATGCACTCATTGTTTACCAGAATTTAGTGATATTGATAGTAAGAAGATCAAAGAGAGTAGAATCTTCATCAGCGAGTGTACAACTGCCAACTCTTATAATACGACGACTTGACCTGAAAGTGGACAAACTCATTGCCAGAATCAGTAGAAAATATTTATGATCACCAACATTTAGCCGTCTTGAGATCTCCAAACGCTAACTTTCAGCTGTAATTTACTCGAAATGTTTATCCTATCCTTGCTACAGACTATATGGTCACCAAGAAGAACCTTATCATGGGAATAAGAAGTGGACAGACATTGGCAATAGAATGGAAAGTTTCGGATTTTCTTGACAATAATGGTCAGTTGGAAGTTTCTACCAGAAATTTGTGCAGCATTCTATTGATAATATACGCTTAATGTGATACTAATATAAAGATAATATATGCATTATGCTGAGCCGATTTATTTACTTGTACAATTGTTCTTGATAACACACAAGGTACCAACTTAAGGTGCATCAAAGTGGTGAATCAACGGCATCTGCTATAAAATACAGAAGCTGAAGAGAGAACTGGCAAAAGCATAAAGCAGAAGAATCAAGAAAGCATCCAGAGTACACAGGAGGCGCAAAACTACACGCACAAATACATTAAATAATAGAAATAACTTGCATCCAGACTTTCCACGAGCTTGATTTCTACACCACAAGGAATTACAGAAAAAACAAGTTTTAAAAACATTTCACTGCGAACCAAAAGTTTCATACCTAAGTCATAAAGTAATTTCTAACACACAAATAGATACGACTCAAGGAATTGCACCAAGAGAATGCAGGTCACTTGATTAGCCCTCTGCCTTCGAAGGAGCATTGTACATGTTCTTGAGCAGGTCTTGAATTTCGCTGTACACCATCTGGGAAGGGTCACTTGTTCCTGCACTGCTCTGTGATGCCCTCGAACTCTCCTGAAGCTTAATCTTTTCAAATAAATATTGCTTCTCAGCTTCGGCCTCGTGCAATCTCTGTTTGAGATACCTGCTAGCATAATCCTCTTCTGACTTCTCTGTCTTGGCAAGTGCAATTCTTTGCAACCTCTCAGCTTCTCGCCGAGCTTCATTAGCCTTCAGCTCAAACATATCAGCCTCAGCCTGTTTAAGCCTAACAATACTTTCAAGCTCATCAATTTGTATCTTCTTTCTCTGCCTTTCCATCTTTAATGCAGCAACTTCCCTAGCTTTATCCTTGAGCTCTTGCTCACAAGTGTCTACAGCCAAGCGGGCTTTTTTAACCATCCGCATCTTCTCCTCTGCTACAATTTCCATCTTTCTAACAGCTTCCTGTACTACATCAGCTATATTGTTGAATGCTTCCTGTGGAGATATCATCCGAACTCCTTCCTCACTCTCTTGATTCTTCAAGGTGTCAGCCTCAAGCTCTGTAAATGAAACAAACTCTTAGAAAAGAATGGCTAGAGAAAAATCAAAAATGGAAATTCTATGTAAACCATTCTATAAGCTAGTCAGAGAAAAAAAATTACTCCTCATATATCTCATCACCAGTGAAAATTCTCAGAGAATCATAGAGAGTTTTAGATATAACTACTACTTACTTTAAAAAATATATATAACAATAATAAAAAAAACTGTATTTTAAAGTGGAATTCACACATTCAAAATGTAGAATAATTGTCATACAGTTTTACAATATAACAGAGGAATTGCCCTATCATAGACCTGCCCCAGGTCGGGGTTCAAGCAACATGGCAAGACAAACATATGCTTAAAATAACACTTCTCAAGTGGATGCAAGTATTTGTCTCGAGTAATTTGATTTAGCCCCTGTTTGATATAGATATAAATCAAATTTTTAGTAAATTTTGATAAAAACAAATGAAATGTGGTTGAAAAGTTGAGTTCCATGAAATGTGTGATTAAAATTAAATGTTAAAATTAATGTTGATTTTGGCTTGGATTTTAATCTAACTTTTCAGTGGAACCAAACAGGGGCTTAATGTAATTCATACTAGTAATTCATTGTTTCACAAATAGTTCACACTTGATACAAACCCGAATCCCCCTTAAAGCGAACGTTAGAACCAGGTATTCTGTTTTAGTAAATCCATATTAACAAAGATGACCTAATTAAAGAAAATATACTAAAGGCATCCAAAAATACCGCAAAATGTGGGCTATGTTTCTCAAACACAATTGTAAGGGTTTGGTTATTCATGTTATTCCATAGATATATACCAATAATAGGTTATCAGTAGCTTCTCAAATTATTACACATCTCAAGCACCCAGATTCTTTGTCCAAAGAAAAAAAAATACTGGTATACAACATGTAAAATTGAGAGGTGTTGTTCACCAAGCTAACATGTTTCTCTCAACGCATCATGTTCCACCCCTTCAAGTAATTACAGTTAGGAAAGGATGCTACCTCGTACTCACTAAAGAACTTTTAGCCAGCACAATAACCATCACAGTGCATGCACCACACATTCACAAATGCCTAAGTCATTGCCAATTGACCTACACTTTGTATCCATAATCATAATAGGGAAAAAAATTATTTGAAATAGGAAGCTATATATGCCTATGAAGAGCATCCTACAGCAGGAGAAACAGTGAACGGTAGAAGAAATACCACTCCCCACAAGAAGATTTACATTACTTAGAAATATATATATAAGTCAACAATTGAAATCCATCCTGTAATTATTCAAATAATTGGAGGGGGAAATGGAAATCTCATATACTAGGGAATATTGCATATGTAATAAAACATTTGGCCAAACAAGTATTAGAATTAGAGTACCTAGTAATTTCAAAATTTATCCAAAGAGGTTATTGGATGGCTATTTGTGAAAAAATTTCACAGGCCAAATCAAGTTGTTAAGAATGTTCTAAAAAGAAGCTACTATAGTTGAGTATATGGAATATGTTTAGTGGCCAAGCAACATAAGAGCAGTTGTAGATATTTGTTTTTGTGTTGACGCTGCCCACATAAGGAAGTGAACGCAACCAATGTAAACCAACAAGGGCGATGGAGAAATCACCTAGGAATAAAGCATACCTTGAAAGAGCATTAAAATTGCTTTACAGGCCACGGGTTCTGCCACCCCACTTTTTAGGTTTTCAATGAGTTCAACGCACTTCCTGGACAATTTCCTGCCTCTTGGATCCTCACTCCCCAGGAAAATTCTATGTACATAGTCAAGTTCTCTAATCAGAGAATCCCTATCCCAGCTTGGTGCACAATGCTGGAAGACATCTTTCACCCAACCTATCAACTCAGATGTCCTACTGCAAGCTCGACATCTGAATAGCATTTCTGCTGAGCTAGCTCCATTCTTAACACAAGAGCCAATACCAATCTGACAATTTCGGATGGCACAATCTGTGTGAGTCCAATGAGAACACTGATCACAACCAATCCATCGACATGTGTTCACCTCAAAATCAAATTTGAGGCAGACCACACACATGCATAAGTTACAGAAACCATCTCTCTTTAAGCACATTTCACAGGTACAGTCCTCTGCTGGCAGTGCGCTTCCACAAGCTATGTTTCTGCACCTCTTGTATAAGAAAATGTCAATAAGAGAAGCTTGCGAGAGACTGACGCTAGGGTGCAAAAATGCCTGAATTCCAGTCTTGATAGCAACTAAAATTTCTAACTGAACCCTGTGTGCCAGTATTAGTGTTTTATCTGTCAAATCACCCCTACTTTGAACTAACTTCTGCAGAAAAAGAAACTCTTCTCTTTGCTGAGAACCACCCAATCCTTCAAGAAATGACCGGAGCTCATTTTTAAACTTATCCAGAAACTCATCGGGAAGATTTTGCATTCTCTCTGCTATAATATCCACTCTTTCTCTGGCCACATCTCGCAAAGACATCTTATCTGAGCTTGACATGCGCCGAACAACAGAATGCTCGGCAAAACCATTCTCTCTTTCTCTCTCGTTTTCCAGTTTCTTTGCTACCAAAGCATCAGCAATGGGCCAAGTTTCTCGTGAACTAGCACTTTCTGATGGGGATTCACGAACCTGATCAGAATTTGAGCCACGCTCCTGAAAATTTGGTGATCCACATGCATCTGGTGAGACTAGGGAGAGGGACGTCTGCAGTCCTCCAGGCCGTGGCTGTTGACGTGGGGGAAGCATTGAGGAGTGGTGATTGAAGGGAGATCCAGAAGACGTCCCCATCTGGAAATAGCCTTAGTGAATCTGAAGAGAGAACAAAGTTTACTCAGCCCCTTTTTGACAGCCATTTTTTTTTGTAAAGAATTGAGTTTTTGAATAATAACTTTTTGGATAATGTGAGGTTAAAAGGGAAAAGTTTTGGATTTACGTAAAGAATATTTTATTGTGAGAATGAATGGTGAAGAAAAAAAAAGAGTTTTGAAAGAATGGTTACCACACTGTGGCTGGACTCAATTAACTATATAAATAATGTGAACGACAACTCAATCTTTCTCCTTCTAACTAAACCAGAAATCTAAAACTTCAATAAAAATTTAGCCACGGCTTAAGCAGAAAAAAGTAGGATTTTGCTGTGATAACAATAGCTGTGAAAAAATTTATACATTACATCTTTTCATCACCAAAATCAACTTTATTTGCAGCAAGAATAGCATATTCAATTAAAAACAAAACAAAGCCCTTCCTCCAAACACAAAAGGATCTTTCAGTAAAGATCAAAGGACTGCTATTACTAATGCATCAAAAATAAATAATTTAACTCTCTAATAGCAAAAGTCAAATATTATTATCTTAGCTTAAGAGAACAAGGATTCTAGCGAGCAAAAATTAAGGGATTTTAACAAGCAGCTAAGCAAAGTTCAGAACCTTAAGCTTGACGAAGAACAATAATATATCAAACCTAAATTAGTCTACTCCGCTCTTACGGGGAAAAATATTTAAAAACAACATAACACAACTATAAAACAAACAACAAAATCCGGAAATTATAAAGCTCATAAATTAAATAAAAAAGCAAAATAAAGACCGAAATTCGATCCATCGCGCCACAGAACAAGATCTACCATCGGCAAACAGAATTCAATTACCAGAAAAAATCTTCCATAAAATGAAATTACCTGAAGAATTTAAAATAGATAGATTCTCTTTACCTTGAACAAAGATTTTGAATACAATCTTGAAAATGACCGAGTTTTTAGCCCCTTTTCTGTTTGAAACCCTAGCCTACCACGGCAATTGGTAGAGGCTGGAAGTCTTTGTTTACCGTTTGGACCCGTTGAAGAGCGACGACGAAAATAGAAAGGTAGTGATGAGATGATGACCGGATTGGCAGGTTAGTGGTATTGGCGGGTCCCACAATGCGTCTTTTGACCGCGTAGTTGACTTTTATATTTTGTATTCATGTGCCTTTTTTTCTTCCTTTTTCATAGAGCAGAATTTTCTTACGCGCTCTCGTCTCATGTACCAAATCAAATATTTTACGCAATACTTTAGCCCTTTTTTTTTTGGTTTACACAAAAATTTTTTTTTTAATAAATTTTGATAAAAGTTAATTAATATATAATTATAAAATTATGAATTTTATAAAACATGTGATTAAAATTAGTTGTTGATTTTAACTTAATTTTTTATAAAAAAATTTAATTGAACCAAAAAGGCACTTAATAATGATTTCAAAAAGGCAAGATTAAGAATTTTTTTTCTTTTTTAATTAGCGGTAGTTAAATTCAGTCATTCAAACACAAAAATAGTCGAGTTAGATGGGTGAGAATAGAAATACATAAACGAATAGGCGAGAGCTCATTTGGAGAGAGGTTTATGTAACAAGTTGGTCATCAAAAGAAAACAACTGACCCAATTGAACCATGAACCAGCTATTGAGTTAACGTTTTATTATTTTTAAATTTTCTAATAAAACCTAAAAAGGAAGTCAATAATCTTGAGGATCCCAGCTCAATTCAAACTCCTTCACAACTTCAGGGGATGAGGTGTGGGTATTTTTTATTATTTTTACTCTTCATTTCCAATGGCATTTACGTATATGAAAAATAGTTTATGATGGCTCTATGGACTTTGTTGACCTCGTTTTTCGCACCGCTAACGTGGACAACAGATAACAAGTCCACTGAGTTCTCTTAGGCTAATTCCAACACACGACCAAAATTGTTAATCGATAATATCTCAAATTTGAAAGTGAGAGAAGTTTTATAACGCCAGATAAATTTGTTTGAGAACCGATAATACGATCAAAGATGATTACAAACAAACAATCATAAACAATTCCAGCAAAATACAAAAAAAACTTACCTCGAGCATATAAATAGGGAATAAGCAAGAGAGAAAACTGAATGTATTTTCTGGGTGCAAAGAATTGCATTAGCTTTAAATATTACAAGAATAGCTTATTTATAGAGTCTTGGCCGAGATGGTTGCCGTTGGATAAGAACCACGTGGCCTCATCTCCCAGGTCAAAACCTCACATCATAGTTTGTTGTGTATTTAATACATTGACAGCGGATTAGCCACCCATTACACAAGACTGACAACCCAGACATATTACTCATTACAGTAGTCAAATTAGTCATTCAAAAGGATTTCGTAAATTCAAGATCTTCAAACATGGGTTGTTACCAGCCTTAATTAAGCTTTGGACTCTCCTTCGTTGAGCCTCGTCACTTCGGCAAAAAGGCTTCGACAATGCGGTGGGAAGGCCACGTGGGATGCTGGGTGATGAAGCGTAACAATAGTCCCCCAAGTCTATGCATAAACCATTCATGTCTTGCATAGACTTCTACCTTGAGTGAAATTTCCTTTCCTATTATGGTTAGGTTTTCAACCAGCACAATATAGTCCCCTAAGTCCAAGTATAGATATTGATTTCATAGTTGGAGTTCGAAGTTGAACATGATCTGTATGTTGTCCAATTCTTATGTAATGCCGAACTCCTGAAGCTCAGCTTTATTTGAAAGCTGAAAATTGTTTGATGAGCTGAACTGTTGAAATCTGCTTGGTGAGCCTAAGTAGGGAAATGTTGAAATGCCGAGGCTCCTTATATTAATTTAAATAGTTGAAATTTGTTTGGTAAGCTGAAGCAGGGAAACGTTGAACTGCCAAGACTCCTTATATTAATTTAAATAGTTGAAATTTGTTTGGTGAGCCAAAGTAGGGAAATTCTGAACTGTCGAGATTCCTTATATTAATTTAAATAAAGCATGATTTTGATAATAGTGCCAATGATTTGATGTCTACGTACAATACCAAGAAAAGACAACTAAAGCGTTTCGACTTTTAAGACACACATAGCCGTTACCTATTGAATGCGTAATGATGACCATGCTGCTGTGTTTTGAGATTGACGCACCGAAGCTCATGGTGTGACACACGCATCAATCTGAGTTTTTTATAAGAAAAACTATTTGAATTCGATGCCTCAAATATAGTTAAAAATGGACTCTTCAGATGAAGTAGATCTAGATCCAATGGCTGAGCTTTATCCTTTCTTCCTATAAAAGCCAAAATCATGCTCTCGTATTAGTTTTTCTCTCCAGCATTCAAATTTTTTTTGGTTGTTTCTGTTATTTGACGACACCATGTTCTTAGAGCTTCTCTTTATTTAAGTAACTTCTCTAAAACTTTCGGCATTCCTATCATTTCCATCTTTTGTTTTCTTAATTTCAATGGCTTCTGAGTCGAGTGCTGGCGGTGGGAAAATCACTATTGCTACGCCCGCGGGGTCAGACGGAGGTTATTGGGCAATGAGTGAAGGTTTCATTGATTATGAGTCGGGGCGGGGGCTGGAAGAATCCTTTCTGCAACGACCTCCATAAAGCTGGCTGAAATTAGGGAAAAGTATAGAATCTCAGATTCCATAGAACTCTTCGATCCCGAAGCCCACGAACGTGCTTGCTATCTGAGGCCAAGATATGTGGCAATTAAGGGTAGCAATAGGGCCAGTAGCTCATCGGCTCGACTCATCAAAACTCGTCCCATGCACGGCTCGAGCTTGTTTTCGGACGAGCTTGAGCCGAGTTGGGGGTTCTTCTAAGGAGCCGAGCAATGCACAACTCGGCTCGTTAAGCTCGCGAATGGCTTATGGACTCATAAAAAATGTGAACAAAAAAGTAAAAAAAATTAAAATAAAAAAAAACTCGAGCTTGTAGGCTCAGCTCGTCAGCTCAAGAGCTGAGCTCGGGCATTGAGCACGAGCCAAGCTCAAGCTCGGTTCATGCTCAAACGAGCTCGAGCTCGACTCATCACTTTGATGAGCTCGACTCATCACTTTGATGAGCCGAGCTCGTGGATAGATGGCTTGGCCAATTGTCACCACTAATGACAGATATTGAGTTCTTGTTCGGGGACGAGCCGAGCTCATGGGTAGATGGCTCGGCCAATTGCCACCAATAATGGTAGTTAGTGAGTTCTTGTTTGGGGTATGTAATTACTTCTGCACCCATTTTTTAGAACGGTTCTGAGATCCTAATGTTAGTTCCCACCCAATTATTTCCAAATGAGTGGAGCCAATTGTTTGGGACATATTTCATTTGGAAGGAGACCTCACTTGATGAGGACATGCCTATTCATGTTATCCAAACACGTTTTCAACCCCGAGTACTTGGGAAAGAGAAGTCTAAGGGGTGGCACTACATGACCCCGTATGAGGTACATGCCCCCTTCATAGTAGGTATGTCATCCTCTATCAAGGGGTGGAAAGAGTTATGATCTTGGGTGAGGTAATTGGCAGTTGGTTGAGAGAGATAAGGCCCCGATTTGCACTATGCCGACCCAGTACTTAGTTAGAAGCTCGTGAGTCTCTTTTTATGATTTATCACTTGCCCATAATTTTGTTTGTTTCAGGGACTCGCTTAGAGCTCTCCCAAGTAGAGTGGAACGTCATCGAAGACATTTTCAAACATCCTTCAAGGTCACGCCATTTCAACTGCCTAATTGACTGAAGTAAGTTTTTCCTGGGATTCAGATTAATGGCTTCGAAAGGTAAATACTGAAGCCCTGTGTAAGTATATATTTCTAGTACAGATGTTAACATTGCATTCACTATCTGCAAATGATTTTGGGAGGAAGAAGTACCCTACCTCTGACATGACTTCAATCTTGAGGGCTACATCAACTGTAAGTTCCAGGGCTCGGAAGCCCTCTTCTGAAGGTACTAAACATGTTAGGGAGAAACCAAAACGCCTCAACAAGAAACATGCTAAGAAAAGTGAGGACGATGGGGTCCAGAGGGTCAACAAGGGTAAGGGGAAAATGAAGGAGCCTCAGAAGAAGAGGAAATTATCCCATAGCACTGGACCTACTATTGGAAAGTTTGGGACAACCAATGTCCCAGCTGCCAAGCAAACCCTCATTCCTCATCCGAAGTTTATGCAGGCTTCGTTCAAGGCTACGAAGGTCCAGAAGGTAAATGAGGCCAGTGAAGAGGCTGTGAAAGAAGTATAGCAGACCTCTGAGGATGTGAAAAAGGCACCAGTGGCGAGGACCCCTCGAAAGTCTTGAAGGTTTCTAATAGGGCAAGATGAGGAGAATGCCCCAGCGGTGATGGACATGTTGCCACCTAATGTACAAGGTGCCACTGCCAATTTTTACAAGTTTTGGATTGAAAGGTGGCAGAATTATGTTTCCACCTGCGATACGATGGATCTTACCACTACCTTGGTAAGCCAAAGCGCCATGCCCTTTGGGGTCTCCCTGTAGTGCCAAAAGGTTCTGAGGGACATTCAGTTGACAATTTGGCCTCAGCGGAAGAACAGATGAAAGCTGAGGCTGAATAGCTGAAGGCCCAACGAGCCTAAAAAGCAGCTAAGTTGAATTCTGTCTTAGCAAAAATCGAAGCTCTGAAGAGTGAGTTCCATGAATCCCAGTGCAAAGTGGCTTTCCTGACAAAGAAGGTTGAAACTCCAAACAATCATCAGAAGCTAATGGTCGAAGCATTGGAGTAGGCCAACTTAGAGAATGCTAGGCTCAAGGATGCTAATGGGTTTCTAGACACCCAAATAAGATACTATGCAAACAAGGCTGGGCAAACTTAAGCCGATGCTCAGAAACCACGTGAGGAGGCGGTGAAGGACTACATTGCCAACTTCCATCTGACAGAAGAGTATCAGTACTTCAGTGCCTATTGGAGGAGGTTTGCTTATGTCGAAGTAGTAGACAGGGTATGAGAGCTTTACCCAACGGAGAGTTTTGGAAAGAACCAATCAAATCACATGTGGAAACTGAAAAATTCAAATATCAGAAAAGTAGATGGATCAATTGACCAGATTTCTCCAGCAGAAGCAATAGTAAATTGGTAATCCAAAAATGTCATAAGACAAAATTCTCTCATCAAAAGGATTAATGAAAGCCGACAAATGATTGAAATGACTCTTAAGTAAAAAGCTTCTACATTAATCTCCTACATTGAAGCCTGCAAACAAAGAATAGAGGCTGTTCATAATGGAATCATG